GAACTTGTTTAGTTTAATTTCTGAATATAATAATTAACTTAAAAGTGATTTTCTGAAGGGGTACTTATATACTGGTTAATGTCAAATTTCTTCTCTATTCATAAATTACTAAGCCATTTATGAACGTTAAAGTGATTTTCTGAAAGTAACTATATAGTTTTTGATTTCATAAAACTCACATATGGAACATTTTATTACGACTGCATATTATTAACTTAATTAGGACCCTTTAAGCAGCAATTTGAAGGGCCACTTGTATGGGGGCTAGTCGAAATCATGGACCGATTTGTTGATTTTCAATACCAAACAAACTTTTTCAATAGAATATACAAAATTTCAAATATCTAGCTTCTCCCGTATGGTCCCTAATATAATTTCAGACAGACAGATGGTCAGATAAGGTTAGATCGTAATAAAGGCCGAAATACTTATACTTTTGTTGATCTAAAGCAAAAATAACTTCCCCAAAGCTCTAGTGAAGGGCATTTCTTATTTGTTTTGAATTCAATTTCCTAAAAATTTCTTCTTGTAAAAAATGTACTTAGCCTCTTTGTACTATGAGCTAATGATATTCTTTACTCCTTTAAAGAGTTAATTAAGTAAGAGCATCAACCAATTATCACTCTCTCTCTACCTCCCTTTCTATATAAAATTACACCTAACGGTACCTTTTCTAATATTTTTCTTTAAGACAAAACTTAACGAAAATTGATCACACCATAAAATCATACATATATCCTAATAAGAACAAAAATATTCCACAAACTTCCATTTAAAAGTCGGCCGTTGTCGTTAATAGTTGATTCTTGCTAAAACGCCTCGTTTTTTCCTCGTCGTCCTCTCGAATATTATTATGAAATAATTTAAACAGTGTTTTGTAAAAATAAAAGAATTTTTACAATAATAATTGTGTTTTTTTTTAGTGATTGCACAGTGTGTTAATAAATTTGTGAACTATTTATAAATATTTATTAAAAACTGTTAAGTGAACTCTAGAAATATCAAAACTATACATATATTAAAACGAACGTTTAGTGTGACCCCTACCTAGTGTCAAGTGTTAAACGTATTAAAATTTTATATTTTTAAAAATATAAAAAAATACTGTTTTTATTAAGTTATAAGTGAAAAATATTTACTAAAATATTTTGAATTTGAGTTAATTGTGCAACGTATTTAATTAATTTATTACTTTTTATATAATTGTGTATATATATTGAAAATTTGTATACATTTACTAAATAATAAAAAACGAGGTTATAAACGAAAACGTAAAAAATCAACTTTAGCCACAATGTTTAATAGCAGTTCAGCTGGGTTTTTGGGTAATCGCCGTTTAATCTTTGATTTTGCTCAAAAGAACGATTTGTATATGGAGTAAGTTAAGAAATTTTAAATTTTTTTATAATAAAGTTATATTAAAAATTATTTTTATTATAAATTTTAAATTAAAAAATAATTTAAAAATTTGTTTTAGAGAGAGAGAGAGAGAGAGGAGTTTTTTATACCCTACACCACTTTAGTGGGGAGGGTATATTGGATTTGTGCTGATGTTTGTAACATATAAAAATATTCGTCCTAGACCCACCTTAAAGTATACCAATCGGCTTAGAATAGTTTTCTGAGTCGATTAAGCTATGTCCGTCCGTCCGTCCGTCCGTCTGGCTGGCTGTCCATGTAAACCTTGTGCGCAAGCTACAGCGCACAAGATAATTCGATGAAATTTGGCACGCACGTTTTATTTGACCCAAGGACGAAGCCTATTGAAAATGGTTAAAATCGGTCCATTATTTCACCTAGCCCCCATAGAACAGAACCCCCCGAAAAGGGCTTCTGAGCTCATAATTATGTTAAATATACAGATATATCGATAAAATACGGCATAACTAAGTTTTATAGAAGTCTTGATAACTCTGCCAAATTTCATAAAGATCGGGCCCCATTTGACCCTAGCTCCCATACAAAGTCCCCTTCAGAAAATAACTTGAATGTCCCAAATTAACTTATAAACACAAATATCGCGATGAAATTCAGCACAATAAAATATTATGTAAATATAAATATATTCACAAAATTTTATCGGGCTTGGTCCATATTTGCCCCTAGCCCCCATATAAAGCCTCTTTCAGAAAATTTGTTTTTCATCCATAAATTGCTTAAATGTATCGGAACAAGGGAATATTGAAGATAAATGCGATATTATGAAAAATAAATCACATTTAATATTCATAACTGGTGTAGGGTATCATATGGTCGGCCACGCCCGACTATACTTTCTTACTTGTTTAAGAATATAACAGTTATAAATATAACAAGTTCAAAATTTTTTATACATAGTTGCCATATCAAAATTTACTTAAATCATTGCGATATGGCAACAAAGTGTTAAGGAATTTCTGATTACTACCATGTTAAGATTAAATTAGTAGTTTACATTAAAAATTTTATACAAAACATTTCATTCTATTTAAATCTCAAAAAAAAAAACATTTTACAGCTAACTTTAAGATTTTTAATACTCTCCCAAAAAAAGGCTTAAAATATCCTAAAAGAAAACTTAAAACAATACAAATTACTAGCCAATAATTCGCATTAATTAATTAAATTATCAAGAAAAAGAAACAGTAAACACAAACATAAAGAAAATATTGTAGATTGAAAAGCAATTTGATACTACTGGACAATTACATTAATTATCAAACAGCAAACGAAAACGTTAAAGGAAAAAGAGAAATTGAAAGAAAAGCCAATAATACGTGTATTAAGGCAGGGATGGAAAAGACAGTGCTTTGTATTACAAGCATTATAATTCAATTTATAGACAGCAAAAAATGCTTTTCGACGAATTAATATTTCGCGGCGAAATCATGTTTTCAGTTATTAAGTTGCAGGACGAAACTAATAAGGTGATGTTTTTTTCAACAGCTGATGGTTTTTTTGTCCATGGAAATTTAGTCGCCTTGGACAGTTAATTAGTTAGTAGTTAGTTAGTTAGTTAGTTAGTAGTTAGTTAGTTAGTTAGTTAGTTAGTTAGTTAGTTAGTTAGTTAGTTAGTTAGTTAGTTAGTTAGTTAGTTAGTTAGTAGTTAGTTAGTTAGTTAGTTAGTTGTAGTTAGTTAGTTAGTTAGTTAGTTAGTTAGTTAGTTAGTTAGTTAGTTAGTTAGTTAGTTAGTTAGTTAGTTAGTTAGTAGTTAGTTAGTTAGTTAGTTAGTTAGTTAGTTAGTTAGTTAGTAGTTAGTTAGTAGTTAGTTAGTAGTTAGTTAGTTAGTTAGTTAGTTAGTTAGTTAGTTAGTTAGTTAGTTAGTTAGTTAGTTAGTTAGTTAGTAGTTAGTTAGTAGTTAGTTAGTTAGTAGTTAGTTAGTTAGTTAGTAGTTAGTTAGTTAGTTAGTTAGTTAGTTAGTTAGTTAGTTAGTTAGTTAGTTAGTTAGTTAGTAGTTAGTTAGTTAGTTAGTTAGTAGTTAGTTAGTTAGTTAGTTAGTTAGTTAGTTAGTTAGTTAGTTAGTAGTAGTTAGTTAGTTAGTAGTTAGTTAGTTAGTTAGTAGTAGTTAGTAGTTAGTAGTTAGTTAGTAGTTAGTTAGTAGTTTAGTTAGTTAGTTAGTTAGTTAGTTAGTTAGTTAGTTAGTTAGTAGTTAGTAGTTAGTTAGTTAGTTAGTTAGTTAGTTAGTTAGAGTAGTTAGTAGTTAGTTAGTTAGTTAGTTAGTAGTTAGTTAGTTAGTTAGTTAGTTAGTTAGTTAGTTAGTTAGTAGTTAGTAGTTAGTTAGTTAGTTAGTTAGTTAGTTAGTTAGTTAGTTAGTTAGTAGTTAGTTAGTTAGTTAGTTAGTAGTTAGTTAGTTAGTTAGTTAGTTAGTTAGTTAGTTAGTTAGTAGTTAGTTAGTTAGTTAGTAGTTAGTAGTTAGTAGTTAGTTAGTTAGTTAGTTAGTTAGTTAGTTAGTTAGGTTAGTTAGTTAGTTAGTTAGTTAGGTAGTTAGTTAGTTAGTTAGTTAGTTAGTTAGTTAGTTAGTTAGTTAGTTAGTTAGTTAGTTAGTTAGTTAGTAGTTAGTTAGTTAGTTAGTTTTGAAAGGAGGATGTATATACATATATAAAGTTATTGCTGTTTAATATTAGCGTTCCCATCTCCGCTTGAAGAAAAACCAAATCATCATCAAACTCTGCTCTCACTAGAAACACTTACTCCCGCAATTGCTGCTTTTCTTCTTATTTTATTTCGTTCTTCTTTGAAATAATAATTACAAAAGCTCTGACAATATAACAAAAGCAGCAACAACATAAGCACAGTGATGATGACGAGTATGATGAAGATAATGATGGACAAATATCAGAATGATAATGGAAAGATAAAGACAAAGAGAGGAGAAATACTAAAAAAAAGAAAAAGAATCTTTTTAAAATAATAATACCCGAGTATTGTTAAAATAGTTATAAAACAGCTTTGTATAAAAAAGTACGAAGAAAAAAAAAATGAAAATAAATTGAAAGGAAATGATAACTTAAAATTGATTAATTTTCCATGCAATTCATTTTGGTAGCAGTTTTTCATTTAATGTTTTTATATTTCATTAAAAATCATACAAATACTGATTTTTATAAGAATCTTTTTGGCAGCGTTTTGTGTCATATGAACATAAATGGGTCTTACGTTTATTGGCTTGGTCTTTCAGACTTCATTCGAATTGTTATTAAAGTATTGTGTCCATTTTACACCTTAGGATGTGGGTGTCCGGTTTGTTGAACAAATAACTGAGCTAAAGATTTCATGTCTGGTTGGATGAATGAATGCTGAATGGTTGAATTGTATTTTTTTATGAATATAAAAACTGATAAGTTTTAATAGCAGTTTATTTATTTACTTTTATATATAAAAACACCCTCCTTACTTTCGTATTGAATGATCAGACCTTTTATATACATACATATATTCCCATTATCGAAACCTCAATATCTTTGAAAACATTATTTTTTATATCTATTTAATTTTCTTCTCTTTCAATTCTTTTCTTTCAGTGCATTTGGTATGAGTGATAAAAGTAGTACAACCAATAGCCTACCGAATAGTCCAATACATAGTAACAACAATAATACATCGCTGTTGAATAACAACAATACCAGCCTCTGCAATCACAATATACCCAACAACAATAACAACAACAATACTATCATCAGCAACAATAATAATAACAACAACAACAATAATACATGTAGTGCCAATCGTAATGTTGTCGATGATGACTCTTGTTTTCGCATGGACGCCGATACACCATACGGTGAAAAGGAGCCAGATCCAGACAATATTAAAATGTTTGTTGGCCAGGTGCCAAAATCTATGGATGAGGCTCAACTACGCGAAATGTTTGAAGAGTATGGTCCGGTGCATTCAATAAATGTATTGAGAGATAAAGCGACTGGAATTAGTAAAGGTAAGTGTGAGATGTGGCTGGGGGTGGGGTGTTGAAGTTTATTGTTAAATAGGCGATATTCAGGTGATTGGAAGAAGGGGTTTAGCATAAACAAAAGTTACAATTGATTGACTTTTGCTAGTGAGAGTTGGGGGTAATTGTAATTTATGGTGTTTTGTTATAAGATAAATTGCTAAAGAAGAAAATATTTAAGAGAGATACATACGTGTAAACATTATTTATGATAAAAGAGTTAATATAATGGCTAAATTGGCAGGTTTTAATCGATATAAAAATTTGATTTCAGTTTTGTAATTTAAAACTCATTTACTTAATCCTTGGACTATATACAGATTATATGTCGGACTCAGCCTATATTTTATAACAGATATGGATTATAATAGTCGAGAATATGGACCAGTCTATAGTCGAGAATATAGAACAGCCTATAACCGATACTATAGACCATATAGCTGTAGTCGAGACTATAGACCAGACTAAAGTTGAGTCTTTAAATCTACCAATACTCGAGACTAATGATCAGCCTATAATCTCGACTATAGATCAGCAGATAGTCGACACTATAGATCAGCCTATAGTCTGGACTATAGACCAGCTTATACATATGTATTCAAGAATAAAGACCAGCCTATAGTCGATACTATAGACCAACATTTAGCAGTGACTTTTGACCATCTTATAGTGAAGACTACAGACCAGCTTATAGTCAACACTATGGACTAATTAATAGTCCAGTCTGTAGTCCAGATTAGCCGAGATTGTTTAACACCTGCTTATAGTCGAGACTATTAACCTGCTTAAAATCCACACTATAGTCCAGTTAATGGTCCAAACTATGGACCAGTCTGTGGTCCAGATGATACACTATAGACTAACATATATCAGCTTACAGTTGGAGCTATAGAACAGCCTTTAGCCGAAACTATAGACCAGCTTATGTATATATGTATTCAAGATTAAAGACCAGCCTATAGTCGATACTATAGACCAACCTTTAGTAGAGTCTTTTGACCATCTTACAGTCGAGACTACAGACCAGCTTATAGTCCACACTATGGTCTAATTAATAGAACAAACTATGGACCAATCTGTAGTCCAGATTAGCTGAGACTGTTTAACATCTTATATACGAGACTACAGACCTACTTATTGTCAAAACTATTAACCTGCTTAAAATCCACACTATAGTCCAATTAATGGTTCAAGCTATGGACCAGTCTGAAGTCCACATTATTCACTATTATATAGTCTAGAATATTGATCGGCTTATAGACCAGCCTATAGTTCAGACTATAGGTTATTCCTAAATCCAGACTATAGGATATAAGGTGGGAACCTTACTGATTAGAACCCTAGAAACCTCCATAATAAATATATTTTTGACCAATATAATATACAGTTTATTTGGTGGAACCCTTTCTGATTCAAATGAATATCCTACGAAATTCGATGAAATATATTTGTCAAAGAAATTTAATACAAGTTATTTTCATTTAATCGAAATCATTATAGAAATATTTTCTATACTTTTTTTCACTACTTGACGTATCTTTCCCTTACAGACTTTGTTAAAAAGTTAAAACACACATGCAAACTTATAGACAAGGACATAATGTACTCTATTATTCTATATCTGCAGTATCCTTACGTATGGTACACATACTAACAAACATGTCTCATACATGTGCGTGTTTGTATATGTTCGTTCATAGTAGTTGTAGTGCGTGCCTTTATTGTGTCTGTCTATTGAGCTAAACACGTACAGGAAACGAATTAATCGAACTTAAATAAATCAGTATCCCTTGACTTAAACTTATAAAGATAACAAAATACAGAATACGAAAAAACAAACACACACAGATTATAACAGCAACAGACAATGCACATGGCAGACAATAATGTTTAAAGACAGTAAGGACTACAATCACACACATAAGCACGCAAGCACTCCTGCTAGGATACACAGCAGGCATGCTTGTAGCTCATTTTTTCTACTCTTGTTTTTTTTTACATGTTATTATTCTTATTTTGTTTTGAAGGATCATAATCGTGATATGTGTGAAGTTTGTAAAAATAATAGTAGAATAGTGTATGAACATATGAATGTATGTATGTGTTATTACATATCTTGATATTGTGTTTATATTCATGTGTATTTGTGCTTTTAGCATTAAAAAATCCTGCAGAGATTGTACATGTTTTCTTAGAATATTATGAAGAAATAAAGAAAAATATGTACATTGGTCAAAACAAATAACAATAGTATTAACTAGAAGCAGATAAAAATTGAAAGCTAAATTCTAAAGGACGTTTGAAAAGCAAAGTCTTCCTGGCGTTTAACAAAGACAAAGTAAAGTTATATCTATCAGAAACATACAGCGACTTAATTTACTAAAAGTTTACAGTTTTTTTTTAATTTAATATTTGGCTTCTAAGAGTTTTGTTAATTTCGGCAGATAATAATGCTTGATATTTATCAACTTTAATATTTTATAAAATTTTTAAAGTACCAGCCAAGGTTGACTACATTCTTTCAAGTCCCTGTTATACATTTATTACAATAACACACATTTTATACTAGAAGAAATGAAGCAAGAGCAGCGCTATATTCGTCGGTTCTGAAATCTCCATTTTCTAATCTATGAAGCATAGTCTAGGCTATATACTGGCACATATTCCCCTCTATTGCCTGGACTATAGTCTAGACTTATATATTACTGGTTCTATAGACTTCTTTATAGGCCGGACTACTCTATAGTATATAGGACTATAGACAGACTTCTATACTGTATTGTCTATAGTTTGTCTATAGACTTCTCTATAGTATTGACTATAGACTTCTCTATAATCTGGATTATAAACTTTTCTATAGTCTGGACTATAGATTTCTCTATAGTCTTGTTTATAGACTTCCCTCTTGTTTGTCTGGACTATAGACTTCTCTATAGTCTGTCCTATAGACTTCTCTATAGTCTTGTCTATAGACTTCCCTATAGTTTGCCTATAGACTTCCCTATAGTTTGTCTATAGACTTCCCTAAAGTTTGTCTATAGACTTCTCTATAGTCTTTACTATAGACTTCTCTATAGACTTGACTATAGACTTCACTATAGTCAGGACTATAGACTTCTCTATAGTCTTTACTATAGACTTCTCTATAGTCAGGACTATGGACTTCTCTATAACCTGGACTATAGACTTCTCTATAACCTGAACTATAGACTTCTCTATAGTCTGGACTATAGACTTCTCTATAGTCTGGACTATAGACTTCTCTATAGTCTGGACTATAGACTTCTCTATAGTCTGGACTATAGACTTCTCTATAGTCTGGACTATAGACTTCTCTATAGTCTGGACTATAGACTTCTCTATAGTCTGGACTATAGACTTTTCTATAGTCTTTACTATAGACTTCTCTATAGTCTGGACTATAGACTTCTTTATAGTCTGGATTATAAACTTCTCTATAGTCTTTACTATAGACTTCTCTATAGTCAGGACTATGGACTTCTCTATAACCTGGACTATAGACTTCTCTATAACCTGAACTATAGACTTCTCTATAGTCTGGACTATAGACTTCTCTATAGTCTGGACTATAGACTTCTCTATAGTCTGGACTATAGACTTCTCTATAGTCTGGACTATAGACTTCTCTATAGTCTGGACTATAGACTTCTCTATAGTCTGGACTATAGACTTCTCTATAGTTTGGACTATAGACTTCTCTATAGTCTGGACTATAGATTTCTCTATAGTCTGTATTATAGAATTCTCTATAGTCCGGACTATAGACTTCTCTAGTCTTGTCTATAGACTTCCCTATAGTTTGCCTATAGACTTCCCTGTAGTTTGTCTATAGACTTCCCTATAGTTTGTCTATAGACTTCTCTATAGTCTTTACTATAGACTTTTCTATAGACTTGACTATAGACTTCTCTATAGTCAGGACTATAGACTTCTCTATAGTCCGGACTATAGACTTCTCTATAGTTTGGATTATAGACTTCTCTATAGTTTGGATTATAGACTTCTCTATAGTCTGGACTATAGACTTCTCTATAACCTGGACTATAGACTTCTCTATAACCTGGACTATAGACTTCTCTATAGTCTGGACTATAGACTTCTCTATAGTCTGGACTATAGACTTCTCTATAGTCTGGACTATAGACTTCTCTATAGTCTGGACTATAGACTTCTCTATAATCTGGATTATAGAGAAGTCTATAGTCTGGACTATAGACTTCTCTATAGTCTGGACTATAGACTTCTTTATAGTCTGGACTATAGACTTCTTTATAGTCTGGATTATAAACTTCTCTATAGTCTGGACTATAGACTTCTCTATAGTCTGGACTATAGACTTCTCTATAGTCTGGACTATAGACTTCTCTATAGTCTGGATTATAGACTTCTCTATAGTCCGGACTATAGACTTCTCTATAGTCTGGACTATAGACTTCACCATAGTATAGATTCTATAGTCTGGACTATAGAATTCTCTATAGTATCTCGTTTAAAGTCTGGGCTATTCACTTATCTATAGTCTGGAATATATACCGTTCTATGTCTGGTCTATTCTGTAGGTTAATCTGGACTATAGACTGTTTTGTAATTACTGAACCTTCAACTACACTATTCGATAAATAACAATAATGGCAAACACTATAACAAGCATTATACGATGGTAGTAGAGTGTACTCAATTCTTCTTATGAAAAATATTAGAAAGTATAAATAAACATTTTTCTTATTGTTGTCTGCTGGAACATAAGAAACAAAAACAACAGCAACAAAATGACACAAGATTGAAAAAAGTAAAAATACAAATACCAACATGCTGCAAGAGAAAAGTTTTATGTATTTGGCAACACACAGAGCGGAAAATAATTTCCATAGATAACTTGAGAATACAATTTAATAAAAAAAAAAAAAAAAACATAACAACTACAACAATATCTACATACATATACACATGACTACATACATACATTG